TAATCGTGTTGAGAAATAACGTGTTTTATTAAGCTTTGTACAGAACAAAATCTAAAGCTAAAATATATTTTGCTTAATTTTTATTTTTCGGTACATTTTTTGGTACACAAAAAAACAGTAAGCAAAGCAGCTTGAATTTATAATTGGTTTATCGAATGATTTAGATCAGAATATGTAGTTCCTCAGTAGTATACATGGCTGCTAAATCGGCTATTTTTCTGTTTTTTACCCATAATATAATCAGTAAAGTTATAGAAAAAGCAGATCAAATTCTGTCAGAATATGTTGACAAAATTTCTTATCGGAATCGACAGACATTAAGTAATAAAAAAAGTATTCTTATTATTGTTTAATGGATTTCAATGTACAATATTTAGTTAGAATTTTTGCTTTGCTAACTTTTTTGACGGAATGTTTTTGAAAGGGCATGGAAAGGTAATAAGGTACATATTCATAGTCGAAATAAAGTCGATTTAAAAGTTAGTAGCAGCTTTTTTGACAGATAGTCTAAAAAAAATTATATCAAAGAGCTGCAACCAACTTTAGTATGGCATGCAACATGTACATACATATTTACAATCACAAGTATATTTGATCAATTATAACTTGAGATCAGTTCCAATTGGTAAAAAGGTTTGTACATAACTCTATGATCGTTAAGTTTGATTACAGCAAATAAAAATTTTACTTGGAAACTTTGCTTATTCTAATCCAAAAACGCTTTATCAACATTCTTATAATAAATACGTGCAAATTTTTGAACGCTTATCTTCACTTCAACTGGAACATGCTGGGCTCAGTGCCTGACTTTAGCAAAACTCTTTCGGGAGTCATTGGCGCCGTCAGCGGAATCCATTCCTTTGCCAACCCCGCATCCGAACGTGCAGATTGTAAAGCCTCTTGTAAAGCAAAGCCTACCGCTATTGGCAAGCATATCGCCGGCTCACCCGTCGCTAAAATGTTAAACAAAGTTTTAGTAATTATTTTAACAATAAAATTTTCATGAGTCACATACCCTTTGAACGCATAAATCCAGCCGGATTTGGACTACCTGGCAGCATTTCTATACGGAAATCGATCGGTATATCTTTAGCGCCAGGTGGCTTGTAGTTCCATGTACGATTTGTCTTCATCTCTCCCGTATTTCTATCGACAATTATCTCCTCCGAAGTCCAATAGCCGAGGCCCATCATAAAGGCACCCTCAATTTGTCCTATATCCACATTTGGATTCAAACTGTCGCCAGCATCCTCCAATATATCCACCCGTGGTAACTGATAATTGCCCGTGAGTATGTCAACCTCAACCTCAATTAGGCCCAGGGCGCAAATAGTGTATGGATCCATGTCGTCCGGCTTACAATTATCGTTTGCAATCAGACTAATATGTTGACTATGAGCTGACTGTATGACGTCTAGCCATGTGGGGTTTTTCAGGGATTCGCGCACTGGCCTCAGTCGTTCTTTGATTGTATTGCAACACTTGCGTACGGCCTATAAAAACTTGCATTTTTAGCGAAAATTGTTCAGAATCGCATTTCATGAAATATTCTACTTACAAAACAAATTGTTTCGCTACCGATTGAGCCGCCAGTTACCATGCTGTTTGCACCGTTTACAGTATTACTGTTTTCGAAACGAACCATATTCATTGGTATACCCAGCTCAAAAGACGCTAATTGAGCGATCTTGGTATTCATACCTTGACCCATTTCAACACCACCATGTGAAATAATCACAGTGCCATCGGTGTGATAAATTGCCACAGTGGCCGGAAATTGGCCAAAGTAACCGATATGGTACTCCATTATAGCGATGCCGAGACCCTTCTTACGCCAGCGATTATTTTCATTAAAACTTTTTACCGCCTGCTTTCTGGCTCTGTAATCCGTTCTTTCTACAAAGTATGGCAAAACTTGGCACATTTTATGACCCGAAATTAGGTTGGCAATGCGAGCGTCTACGGGATCCAGTCCCGTCTCGAAGGAAATATGCTCGAGTATATTTTCAATCATGGCAATTCCTTCCACAGAGCCAGGTGCACGGCACGCTGTATTACTAGGCGAATCGGTGAACACCATATAGCCATCCAACTTGTAGTTATCACTGAATTCATAGCAATTTTTACCCAGCAAGACCGTGTGTCCCAGAGGAGATTCATTGCCAGAGCACCCGGCATCTTCGTAGAATGTATTCCGCAGTGCCACTATTTTGCCTGTATTTTTAACGTAGAAATCATAATCTGAATGGAAAGCCCAACGCTTTCCAAGAACATTCATCATCGACTCTATAGATTGTACGAAACGCACCGGACGGTTAAGCTTGAAGGCAGCCAATGCGGCAGCACAAGAAGCTGGAACGTTGCGGGTTCCCTTACCACCATATCCGCCACCCAGTCGCCGTACTTTAACTTGAATCTCATTAACTTTTATATTAAGCAACTCAGACAGAACGCCCTGAACCAAGTCCATCCACTGAGCCGCCGCATATACTTCCAGCCCACCTTCGAACGGAATTACCACGGTGCTGTGTGGTTCCATGAAATAATGATACTGCAAGCCCAAATCTAATTTTCCAGACCCATGGACATCGTATTTTTCTTCAATTTTTAATGTCTCGATTAGGGACTTGACGGTATGATCAATTCTATCCGCGCAGGCGCTATCCAAAACATCATGGAGCGTGGGTAAAACTTCGTTGGCACCGCCGGCATAAGTGAGCTCCACCAGCCCAGCAGCATGATTGGCAATGGCATTAGACTCGGCTACTATAACACCGATTGGTTGATCATAAAATTTAATAGCGCCACTTGGAAATAGCTCCTCGTTCTCGGTAAAGACAAATTGTTCACTGCCACAAATTGTATTTTTTCCAGGTATGTCTTTAGCAGTAAAGAAGGCTACAGCTCCGGGTAATTTCAGTGCAGCAGAGGTATCTATATCTGTTACCATAGCGCCGACTTTCTTGGCTGTAACAAAGGCAGCCCACAATTGATTCGGCTGTACGGGAACGTCATTTGAATAGGTGGCTTCCCCAGCAGTCTGCATCACACCTTCGTATTTTACTGTCGGCTGGTGAACGGGAAACTCTGCCTTCACACTTTCGTACACTTGTTTACCCGAAGATGTTGGTCGCTTCAGAATCTCTGCTCCACTGCGCAGCTTCTCTGGAATTACGCTAGACGGTGCATGCCGCAAAAGAGTTTTAAAAATAAGGCCACAAGCTAATTTTTGCCTATATTCAGGAGATGCGTCTGGCAAAACTGCATCGGCAACGAAGTGCTGTCCAGCTATCGCAAACAACTTTGCAACAAGTTCAGGATCATGTAATTGTTTACCAACTAGTATCTTTTCCAGTTCTGTTGCATGAACGAAATCAGGATTTATACCACCAAAACATAGCCGCGCAGATTTGACTTTATGGCTGGGTTGTTCGGTATTTATGAGGAAAGCGGCATTCACGTAGGCGTGCGCGTTTTGTGCCCTAATCATAATCTAGCAAGTGACAAGAAGTTCTATTTTATTAAAATTTGAAATTTTCCTTTTTTCAAACAATACCTTGTAGGAATCAAAGATGTATTGCGCGCGTGAATATGGCGGAAGAATGATTGCTCTTATGACTTTACCGCTCATCGAGGTTTTCAAAAACTCTGCAATTGTCACCGTCTTCTCTTTTTTGGCGCTCTCGAGAAGCGATATTTTAGCATTTAATGCCTCAAAAACAATGAAAACGTCAGAGGGGAAATCTTTGCGGTAGTATTTTATCATTAAATTGCCGGCTAAGGTGCCCATCTAAAAGTAAGTGAATAAAAATAAAAATGGAACAATACAAAATATTTTGAGTGAGGTTCGATAAGTGCTAAAATATATATAAAGCACTTGAAATAGCTTACTAATGTAGATAACGATGCCATAAAATTAAAAACAATATCAAAATCACATTTAACCAACGCGTGACTTAGTACTCACATTGCGCACAGGTACATTTGCAATTAAGTCGAAGTGGTTCCAAAGTTGTTGACAATACTCGAAACCATTGCATTTAGCAGCCTCTTGAAATACTGTCATTGCGTCAGTTAAGCTTAAATTGCCACCTAGAACTATACCACTTGGCGAAATATTGTGTTGATGCAGTTCAGGTACTCCATGGACGTCGATAAATTTTTTAATTGCACCATCTCGACGAAAAACGCCATGAGCAGTATTGCCGGCGACAAGCATATACTTGGAGCCATTTGATTGGTCGATGGCAGAGAACACGTCAGCTAATGATTTTGGCCAGAACCATTGACCACCATCGTCATATTCGATCGGCGAACGTTTTTTCATGCCATTACAAGCGCCACTACAAGCAACGCCAGTCTTCGGGCACGTTTTATTGCTCAGGTCTTCAATGTCACGACATTCATCGGGTATCTCAATATTGCTATCGACTGCAAAAGATTTCATGGCATCCAGTATGGGGCGGTAGCCAGTGCAACGGCAAATGTTGCCACCAAATGAATTCTCCACCTCTTCCATGGTAATTTGGTTGCCCCTGGATTTCAGCAACCCATACATATTCATCACGAAACCAGGCGAACAATAACCACATTGGGTGCCGTTCATCTTTGCCAAGCGCTGTTGAATTGGATGGTAACCATCGCGTTTGTTGCCAATGCCTTCAGTAGTGGTTATCTCCCAGTCGGCGCAGGTACTCAGCAATGTCAAGCACTTTAAATAGGGGGATTGAATTTTTTACTGGGTTTAACATAAATACTTGACTTTTGTTTTGCTTTTTTTTCAAAACTAAGCATAAGATTGTACACAATAACACTTCACAAGCCAACAAAAAAAGTTCGCCGAACACCGCTGAGTCTACAGTATTTTTGCAAAGCAATTTCGAAAAAAAAAATATTATTTTGTGTGGAATTTTTACATTTTACGGTGGCACCCACATTCAGCAACACATTTTTTGTTAAATAGTTCTACTGAAGTAATAGAAATACTTCCATAGCAAAAATTTACTGATATTTGATAAGCTGTTATTTACTGGCATTAGGATGGTACGTTAGAGTGATAAGTATTGAGGTCTGGTGTGTAAGTACTACAACAGGGTACAGATCAACTTTTAAATAAAAGAGCTCCTCGAGACAAACAACATCGATCCATCATACTTTAAGATCCGTCTCTAAATTCCAAAGATACGACGAAAAATGTAAAAAGGTGACCCTTGCATACGTTTGGCCAAAAACAAAACAATTTTTCGAAATTGCCTTGCCAAATTATTTTAGACTCAGCGTGTAGGGCAAATTTTTTTTTTCTTTCACTTTCTAATATACATAGTACATATTTGTGTAAACCCAGTTAAATTACGACTTACTGAGTTGACGGCCCACGTACG